AGTGTACTTTTAAGATGTTTATTATGAGTGTCAAAGTAGTAAAATGGGAAAGACCTTCTTGCAATTCCAGTTTAGATTGATCTGGAACAACAAAACACATTTAATTTTAAATGCCTAGTGTTGTTAATCCTCTTTTTAAGAGTCCAAAACGTACAACTCATTTAACTTTCATTAAGTTTGGTGTATTAAGCCCTACAAACTAATGAAAATAATATGGATTTATTTGATAATTAATGAAGTCCCAGAAGAATTAAGTGTAATTCTCATCTACACTCCTGCAAGATTGTTTCCATTACACTGACAAATCGACAAACATAATTGGAGAAGAAATTCAGAAAACTTTAATGGGGAAACTAATAGGGGGAAACAAAAATACTTTTTTTGCTGAGGATCCGAACCAGCACCTGGGTTAAATCTTCAGTGAATTTTAATGCTCAAAAACCAGTTATTTTATTTCAGCAGAAAAACAAGAGATAAAGGTAAATAGTATTTAACCCTGTCAGGGTAATATTGCCTAGCTATTTAACACTGTGTAGCTGGCTGGAGGCCAGAGGATGGAGAATCGGACTGCAGGACATGAATGCCGTCCCAGGCCTCCCAGGAGAAGAGTCAGGCTGCGTGGCCTTGGGCTGGCTCCACAGTCCCAGGGCACCATGAGAAGAAGGGACTGGTGAACAAACCCGGAGTGCCCAATACCTACAATGCATTGAAAACGGTTGCTGTAAATTGGAATTGACATGGTAGCATATAATTAATTAATGCAGTGGTCCCCAGCCTTGGGCATCCAGATGTTCTTGGACTTCAACTCCCAGAATTCCTGGCCAGCAGAGATGGTGGTGAAGGCTTCTGGGAGTTGTAGCCCAAGAATGTCTGGAGGCCCAAGGTTGAGGACCACCAATTTAATGGACTTCTAGCTTGACGCTGGGACGATACGGAGCTCTGTGCCCTGGGCTGAATTCCGACCTGTTTGGGAAGCCTGTTGATCACTGGGGTGGGTGGGTGAGTATGGCGGTTATCACAGTTTGATCCGGGAAATTCCTCAAACAACTAGGGGGCGGAAACAAGCAGCTGGAAAGCTTGCTTGCAAGTTGTCAGCAGCTGGCAATTGAGAAGCGATAAACCAGCTTAATTAAAATCATCTGTTATCATTGGGTGAGAAATATTTTATAACTATATGGCTTTATGACTATCCCTGGACGAAACAATTCCCTATAACAGAAATAGCGTCTCTCAGCTTCAACATTCACGGAGCAACGGTGGATCTGAAAGGAGGAAGAAATGCAAAGAAAATAAATTGGACACCAATTAGAGATTTAATCATACTTCAAGGAAAGAAGTTGGGTATTTTTTGGAGTTAGAAACATAAGAAATCTTTCTCTTATTAGCTAACAACCCTGGAGTTACATGGGTTATGTTTTGACTACAACTATCTACAGCATTGGCAAAAATCCCAGAACTGGTGAGCAAGTGACCTTCAGCCTTCCAGGAGGGGAAATCCTCCAGGTCTGAGACTGAATTTTAAGTTTATCCCTAAAGATGACCAATCTACTTAAATGGACCTATGGAAGCAAGTACTATATTCATGGGATAGGACTGATAACTACTAAGCAACTGGACAATGTTTACTTGGAATACAGTTGTTTGATATCTGGGATATAATGCTACAACAAGAGAATTTTTGGGACGAAACAAAATCCACCCTTCAAGCAATCATAGAAACACTGAGAGCCCACAATGAAGGGGTGAAATTATTCAGCCAGCAACTAAAGAAGGACTATAGTCAACAAGAGACAGGGAATAATGGACAAGGAAATGAGAGGGTGGTGGATGATGTATGCCAATCAAAGGAGGGGCTGGAGGGAACTAGAGTAGAACTTTTAGGAGATCTAATTTCAACCATGGAGCTGAGGAAAATTTTAGGTGTGCTAAGGGAAGATATGGGGAGAGAATCAGCAGATTTAATTTAAAATAACCTGGAAGATCTATTGGAGATAGATCAAGTGCAAAAAATGATCACAGATGGTACTAGGGATGGCAGAATCTTTAGAGAGCTAGGAATGAGAATTGGGAAAAGACAAATAAGGGAAGGAGTCGCTTAGAAAAATGCAAAGGGAAAAAAAACATTAAGATGGTCTTCAATGATATGTATACACCTAACCTCTGGAACTGTAAGGAGACACATCTTACAAGAAAAGGGAATCAAACTGAAATAAGAGGTTACTAATCAGTGTCATAACATGGTGGCTTTTAAGGTAAATTGAAGCTAGATATAAGAGGTAAAACAAAGAGTACTTAATTAACATAGATATGATATCTAATATATGTTAATTATAGATATAAGAAGAGGTAAAACAAAGAGTACTTAATTAACATATATTAGATATGAAAGACAGGAGGGCCTGGCGTGCTCTGGTCCATGGGGTCACGAAGAGTCAGACATGACTTAACAACTGAACAACAACAACAAGATATGATATTGGTATAGACATAGCAGAAAATGTGGAGATAGAAATGGCTAAAATCATTTATTACGTTTAGGAATCTATTTAGTTATCACTAATAAAAAAATACAAAGTTGGTTGGTTAAACTGCCTCGAAATTATATAGATTTGAAACCAGAATTGCTGTTATGAGGTATCTTATTAGAAGATTTTGAGAAACACTGTATAAGAAAGAGAGCAATATTATGATAGTACCAATATTGTACACTAAAATACATATATGATTGGTTCAAATGTTTTAAAAATGTAAAGATTTTGAAGGAACAACTAAGACACCAAGATGCAAAAAAAATCCCAAATAATTAAAAGTAACCCATGGATTCATGGAGAACCACGTTGAAGAACCCCAAATAATTAAAAGCAACCCATGTGACATGATGTTTAATAAGCATGAACTGAATGTACTGTAGATAGAATGAAAAACCAATAACATGTTTTTTAAAAATAAAAATAATTAATTATACACTGTATGTGACATCCTAGAGAGGTCTCTAATCTGCAGTCGTTTATACTATGTGCCATACAGAGCAGTAGCCTAGCTACTTGTTGGGCGGGATAGAAATGTAAATTAATTGATCATTAAAGGGCTAGAAGGTCATGCATGACCTCTGGTCTTGCATACTTCTGCTTCCGGTTGCCAGACTACTTCCATTTTGCCCCTCTACCACTTCCTTTTCTGTTTCTCACTGCCACCCTGACAAAAACAGAAGCTTGCTAAGACAGGGCTAGAGCATAAGGACCACCATGGCCTGAAATAATGCCCATCTCTCCTTCCCATTTTCTGTTTGACAGTGGCCTGTTTGCTATGATGTCTAATTTAGAAAACAATGGTTCACACTTCCCCTCCAAACCTACTTAAGTTTAGAAGATTTTTGAAGCTCCCTATCTGCAAAAGAGTCATTGATTCTCACCAATGGTTTGTAAACCACTGTGTCAGTCCTCCGTTACTAAAGGCCACAGAAAACAGGGCTGACAAAGACCTGCCCACAGTTCACTCCTCAGAAATACCCTTGCATGTGGAGGAGTACAATGACGCACATTACTTTCCCATACCATGCATTCAGACCAATCTCTAAACAGTCCTAGACAGAAAGGACTTCTTTTGCTGTTATAGATTAGGAGACTAAATAGGAAATGATGCATCCCAAATCACGCAGAAAAAGCTATTAACAGAAACAATGCAATACTAATTTGTCCACTTGTTTAATGTAAATTCTCCCTGACCAAAGACTGAATATTAGAACAATAATAGGAATATTCTCATTTCTCATTCCCATCAGAATTACAGTACTTCATTCTTTGAAATGTAGAAACATTGCAAACCTCAAGGAAAGGGACTCTCATTAGGAGAAAACTGCAAAGGTAAGTGAGTTTTTCAGTATAACCTCGCTTAACAGCTTCCTTTACAAATATCTCTGTGGAAAGAGACCAGGGATAGTATGCACACAGTATTTTAATGAAGAAAATGCTGATTTCAATGAACTGAAGGAACAGCAATTCCCTCCAAGCAGAAGCACTCTCATCAATACAATTTCCCCCCCGAATGACTAATTAAATATAAGTGATTTTAGATAGGGAATTTGTATGCAATAACGTGCAGCTTCTACGTCCATTAAAATAGAAACTTATTTCAGCAAGAATAACTGTATAGGGGATATAGATACTTAGATCAAAATTCAACTACAGAAAGCAAGTGACACCAAATTCATTCAGACAGATCTTATGAAGAGAGATGGGGTTTCAGGAAAAGGAATGTATGTGAGTACAATATGAAAGTCTATTTTCCTTCATGAGCTGCAGCAATTTCACTCGCCCTTTCTACCAGCCACCAAGTTGGGTTACAAATCTTCAAACATACAAACCAAAGTTGGACATCCAAAGAAGAAAAACATATAGTTATTGAATGCCTTTGATGAAAATAGCATTCTAACCACCCGATCAAAGTATCCAACAATCAGATGGAAACAAGGATTTTTTCCATGCTAAAATGACTGACAGTTTTTTGACGGGGAGCTGGGAAAACTGCTGAGGGAGAGAACATGCAGAAGTGATTATTTACAGTAAAACCTTCTGCAACAGTAGTTACTTCTATAGGTAGGATTTTAAAGTAATTATTTATTCTCTTGTTATTCAAATGTACCCAAATAGTTACTTTTTCAGAAGTACCATCAGCTGTTGGTCAGTTATACAAAACACACCCTGTAATTATTGAAGCAGATTCTTAAAAGCTCCGAAATCCAGTTACAGTTGCACTACAAAAGGAGTAAAGCTATCCCTTCTTATGTAACAACTGTAACGTAACATACTAGTTATTGTAAAAAAACAAAAATCTACAAGTGACTTGTTATTTATAATGAGTTACTTCCAAATTTTGGGAGGATAAAATGTGCATCATTGCTACTGATCCTTGCAGTATATAAACTATACCCATATGTATGTCGTCCACAGCATGACAAGCACTTTGACATTCTGTTACAGAAAGAAAGAGATGCAGCCTACCTCAATGGAAGCAATGTGGAGTAGTGTCTCTCCTTTATGATTTCTCTTGGCTGATAAATTATTGGGAGATTTTTTGGAGAAAAGTTGGACTCCCTGTATTGCTCTTTGAGTAGGATTATTGGTCCAAGGTGGTGTTTCTGGAACTACTTTGTTACTTCCACTGTAATTTCCAGCGCTTCTCAGTGTGAAGATGGTGCTAACAATTGGTGTAGACTTTACACAGTCAAAGGTAGGAGAGGTTTTACCAAGGACATGTTCAGATGACTGCCGTGGAGACCCTTTTACCAATGACATTCTCCTGCAAGAGCTCTGCTCCTTCCTTCTGAGACGTTTTGAGAAAGAAGTGGGAGATCCAGTCAGTAGCCTGCTCCGTTTTAGCCAGGGTGTTTCCCATTCAGAGGGGAGGCACTGTTCAGAAGTCAGGCTCTCCACATCAGCACCACATGTGCCAGACAAGTTATCGCTGCTCTTCCTCCCTGTGTATTTCACAGATGTACTGCTACCACCTGTACTGGGTTCGTTTGCATTTTGCACATCACCTTCTCCCATTATAGGCTTGTGCATTGGTGGGCTTTGGGGGTCAGGACTGGGGATGACCACTGTTTGACTGCAAAATGACACTGATGTTTCCTTGGTTTCATTTGGGCTGCTCTTTCCATGTCTACTGATGTTCTTCTGTCTCCCCTCAAGCAAACCCCATTGTTGGTTAATGTCTCTTAAAGTCCTTTTCTTCAGTTTCCTCTTACATTTTGGCAGAGCTTTTCGACCCTCTTTGAAAGGATCTTGAGAAGGAGGAGAGGAAACAAAGTCATACACCGAAGATGGGTCATGAGGCTGGCTGTCCTTGTTTGTCACCACCTTGGGTGTCACAGGCTGTTCTGCCCTCTCCGACTTCTTCTTCAGAGTAAATCTCATCTTCCTACTACGAGGACTGAACCACATTTTTATTTCCTTCTTCACAATTCCTGATTCACAAGTTACTTCTTGCGGAGCACAAAGATTATCACCAGAACCTGACAAGGAAAATTGAATGAATTAATTACAACAATGCATGGACTGTTTATGGTCCAAGTAATCTTTAACACTAAGTAGTTCTTAGTGAGATAATAATCCTATGTCTGACCTGTCCTATTATGGACTGCATGTGGGAGGTTAAATGACAGAATGTTGCACCACACACAAACAAAACCTTTGGTAGGAAATTTTCTGTAAATTTTCTGTACAGTTTTTCCTTCTGATTTGCCAGCCAATCCCAGAGGGTAGTACAGTGGTACCCCACTTGACAACGATAATCCTTTCCAGGAAAATCGCTGTTAAGCGAAATAGTCGTCAACCGAAAAAAACCCACATTAGAATGCATTGAAAACCGATTAATGCATTCCAATGGGGGAAATACCTGCTGGTGCAACGAAGATCCTCCATAGGGCGGCCATTTTGCAATCCCTGTCTTGCGGAAATAGCTCCGGAAAACAGCGGGGAGCCATTAACCAACAATCAGCTGTTTTTAATCGTCTTGTTGTGAACAATCGGTTCGTGAAACAGGAACCTAATCATCGTAAACTGGAAAAAAAAACCTATAGGAAGATCGTTTTGCGATCGCTATAGCAATCGCAAAAAACCTCATTGTCAAGCGATTTCGTCGTCAAGCCCGGGTCGTCATCAAGCGGGGCACCACTGTATGTTATTTCAGACAATCAGGCCCAGTTGCCATTACTCCTCCTTAGCTACATACAGACAGTCTATTACAGTCAGAAATACTCCACTCGACCACTTATAATGCAGGGCTAATTCACCAGCCGTTGCCATTACTCCTCCTTAGCTACATACAGTCTATTACAGTCAGGAATACTCCACTCGACCACATATAATGCAGGGCTAATTCACCAGCCATGTCGAACTACAGCTCAGCACTCTGGGAAGAAGCCTTCAGTGGAAGATCACATACTTGATATGCTAAAAGCATCCATTTCAAGACGTGGCATCTCCAGGTAGCATTAGTAGAAATCCCCATTTGTCAGTTTGCTTTGCTCTAAATTTCTAGTTTGGAGGGCAATCACACTTTACAGTTTGCTGGCTCAAACTAATTATTAAGTATGTTTTGCTGCAAAACAGGATTAACCCACTCAGACTGTGCCAACAGCAGAGGAGGAGAGAACACATGGGCACAGGGCTCGTTCCCTCAATGATGGATTATGGTTTGTTTATTCATTTTTAACATGCTACCTCTCTTCCAGAACCGACACAGCTTACAATGCAGTTTTTAAAAGCAACAACAACAATATAATAAAACCCATTGTACTATTATAGCACAATTAAAACACTTTAGAACAGCTCTGCTAAAAGGGAAGTCACAGATCACATAAAAAATTCAAGAAACTCAGCATCCCTGGTCCCTTAACAATACAATCATAGAACAAGTAAGATGGAAGGCGCTATAAGGCCATTGAGTTCAACCCTCTGCTCAAGGCAGCAATCCAAATCAAAGGGTATCTGGCGGATGGTGGCCCAATGTTCTCCTGAATGCTTCCAGTGTCGGAGTGCTCACCAACTCCCAAGGCAATAGGTTCCATTGTCATACTGCTCTTAATAGTTAAGAAGTTTTTCCTGATATTCAGCCTAAATCTGGCTTCCTGCAGCTTGAGCCCATTATTAAATGTCCTGCAGTCTGGAATGTTTAAGAACAGATCTTGCCCCTCCTCTGCATGGCTACCTTTTCCAAGGATTTGAAAAGTGTTATCATATTTCCCCTCAGTCTTCTTTTCTCAAGGCTATACATGCCCAGGTTTTTTCAGTATTTCCTCACAGATCTTGGTTTCCAATCCCCTGATCATCCTTGCTGCCCTCCTCTGAACTTGCTCCAGTTTGTCAGCACCTTTCTTAAAGTGTGATGTCCAGAACTGGACACAGTACTAAAGATGAGGCCTAAGTAGTACCAAATAGAGAGGGGTCTGGCACTTCACAGGATTTGACTACTCTACTTCTGTTAATGCAACGATAGATAGATAGATAGATAGATAGATAGATAGATAGATAGATAGATAGATAGATAGATAGATAGATAGATAGATAGATAGATAGATAGATAGATAGATAGATAGATAGATAGATAGATAGACAGACAGACAGATTTTGGCAGACACATTGCACTGTTGGCTCACATTCAGCTTGTGGTCTACAATTCCAAGATCTTCTCACTTGTAGTATTAGGGAACCAGGTATCTCCTATCTTGTAACTGTGCATCTGTGTAGCACCGAGCTAGATGAATCATTGGTCTCACTCAGTATAAGACTGATTCATATTATCAGCACATGAGCAAATGCCACATTATCTCTAATACCAAGCCCCATTTTGGCATTATATCTGAGTCTGGCCATTAGTTTCCTCTGTTCCACAAATGTTCCATAATCCAGGTAACAAGGCAGATGCAAAAATGGGAGGACTTAGCATCTGTGAGAGGTTTGCAACTATATACACTGCTATAGAAAACCCCTGCTGCTTACATCATATTTTAAGAAGCCAGCCAGCACATAAACAACTCTCCTAATAATAATAATTTTTAAAAAAACTGAAGAAGAGAAAAAGAAAGATATTGGCACATTATGTTAAGGAAGATTTTAGGAAGATCTTAGCTGCTTAACATTCTGAAAACGGGCGTGCAAATCACAATGTGTAATACAGTACTTGAAAATAAAGGCAGTCTTTTGAGACTAAATGTAGTTAACATTACTTCTACCTCACTGGATTAACATTTCAGCTATAATTTTCTTTTCTAAAAGACATAATAGATTTTTAAAAATCTTTTTACACAACTAGAGGAGTACACTGTGCACGTTATCCAGCAAAGTGAAAGACAAAATCTGTACTATCAAAATAAAAATGAAATCTTGTAGAAAAATCCATACAGCACAAGGCATCGCAACCTTCCCAGGTTCCTACATGAATTTTAATCTGGACGATGGGAAGCTAGTCTCACTCTTCTTCAACTACTGCATTAGTTATGAAGAAGTTGTACCAGTATGTTTTCGACTAACTACTGAATAAAATAGCCTTAAATGACAATAAACTGAGCCTTAAATGACAATAAACTGAGAAATACAACTATAGTACTCTTGTGGTATGGGCAGTTTGCTTACTTGTAACTGTAGCTCTTTTGAATAGTCTTTTGTGAACTCACACATATGAATTTCACACCTGTGTAGAAGCATGTCCAGAATCTTCTAGAGCTCAGTAGTTTCTGAAGAAACACCACTGCACATGCAAAACATATGATGATCTACCCAGAGAGTGGCAACACTAATGAGGCAGTATGGAAATGGAAATGAATGAATACTTCAACTCTAGCCCTTCGGTTCCTGTTTGATGCCAAGAGGAAGGAGGAGACAGGAAAGAGAGAAAGCTGATGTCAATTCACAGATGATTACTTAAAAACCAGCTACAGGCAAACAACCTGTCTGCCATCTTCATGGTTTCTTCGACTCATACATATGGGAGACAGGAGGGATATAAAAGCAAGGATGGCAGGTAGAACCACTCAGACAAAAAAGGCATCAGCACGTAATAATGCTGAATGAAGGTAGATGGCTAGGACCATGTAGCTGCCCCCCACAGGAACCCTGCTTACTTCTGCCAGGTATATAACTCAGAGGTCAGCAGTCAATATGGCCACTGACCTACTGGAGTTGTTCTTGAGGTGAGGAGACATAGGCAGGTAAACCATTTAAGGTTACCATTTAGAGTAAACGATTATACCAAGATGATGGAATCAACCATCCAAAACACAAAGGGCTCAAACGTTACTGTGGAAATTTCATAATGCACAAAGAATTGGGAAAAATGTAGACATGAAACAATTCTTGTAACATAAAAGGGGAATTCCCTAGAAATATCCAGAGAGAGCAGAAAAAGTTCTAAAGAAAAGAAAGGATTCTGCAAAAAAGTAGACAAGGTGATGCCCTGATCAAGGTGGAAACGGGATAACACTTTAGGAAGAAACGTTACGTCAGGCAAGAGAACTGCCCTCATTCTGTGGACGGCAAGGGAGAGGAAGTCAGCACAAAGTGCACAAACCCCAGTTGCCACCCATGGGAAATGAATAGCCACAAGGGAGGCAGTCTTCCAAGATAAGAGATCACAGAGACCATGGATTTAAACATTCTCCCAAGAGGACAACAGAGAAAGACTTAAGGAAGTATAAGAGATTCCACTTCAGGGCAAGCATTCTTGATCCCTCTAAGAAACACTTTAACAGCTGGATCAGACAAGATTCATGGTGAGTACTCAGGTGAAGACTGTCAATTGCAAATAACCCCTGCTAGAAAGGAAGGAGATTCTCTGACCTTGCAGAGACAACAGAATTGGAGGATCTAGGGAGTATTACAGGAAATAGGAGAAAAACCTTTCTTAGCTGCTAACTTTGGAAAAGTAATTCACATATTTCCATATGATGAAATCGTAGAAAGCTTTCTATAAGCCCAGAGAATAGCTGCAACTTCTGGAGAGAGAGATCATTTATGGATCCTCTAAGTCAGTGGTGTCGAACTGTGGTCCTCCAGATGTTCTTGGCCTTCAACTCCCAGAAATCCTGGCCAGCAGAGGTGGTGGTGAAGGCTTCTGGGAGTTGAAGTCCAAGAACATCTGGAGGGCCACAGTTCGACACCACTGCTCTAAGTTGTTAAGTGGAGTTTCTAGATCTGGATATCTCACCTACTACCCTGTTATGTCAGGCGGCATGGTTTCACTGGGAAGTGATAAAACTGATGGCAGGACAGCTAGAGCAGCACTGTAAACCAAGGTTCATGGCACCACTAGGGTGTACTCAGAATGACATTGGCAGCTTCCTCCCTCACCATGATGATGACCTGAATAATGAGCTGTGCAAACCCAAGAGTATTGCTGTGAATGGGTTCAGTTTCAAATTTTGACAACTCCTCACTTTGTGCAGGAAATACCACAAGAGAAGTCTTCTTAACTTCAACAACTTCTTTATTAGTATCAGGTAAATCAACATTACTC